CAACTGGATGGGGGGCGGGGGGGTGGGGGAGAGAGAGAAAGAGAAAGAGAAAGAGAGAAAGAAAGGGCTTAGAAAACACCGTCAGCAACACCATGCCCATGAAGAAGGAGAGTAGTTGTGGGGAGAAAGACCTGAGGATTAAATTCCCAGAAGCCCTATGCCAGCTTGGCCATCTCATCCCCTCCCCAGCACCAAGTGGAAACAGGCCTGATGTGGGGCACAGTCCTGATGGAGAAACCCTGCTCCTCCATCAGCTTTCCCAGCCAACCCTCTCTGGGGTGAGGGAGAGCCTGCGATCGCTCCTGTCCCATGTGCACGTCTGTCCGGGGGACTTTGGCCGTGTCCCATTGCCATCTGTCCTGCCCGTGCATCCGTCTTGCCCTGGGCGCTTCGCAGCCACCCCATCCACATTCCCCTGCCAGGCACCAGTGGGTAGCTGCCTCATGACAGTACCAGCTGCCTATCAGCAGGGGTCTCACAAGACCCTTGAAGGGGGAATGAGCCAGCAGAGAGATTCCACCATCGCAGGAGAGGAGAAACGCCCTGTGAGCCACACAGGCCCTGCTCTGGCTCTGGAAGAAAACAGGCAGTAGGTCCTAACATGGCCCAGGGCATGGCAACATGACTCCCTCTGGACTCAGAGCAAGCCTGAAGCACCCTGGTGAGTGCCTGTGTGCATCCGTGCACAAGCCAGACCTGTAAACACGCCACCTCCACCGAGGGACATCGAGCAAGGCATCTCGTCCGCCCCGATCCGGACCACAGACGCCTCAGCACAAACCCAGCCCAGCAGTACACCGCATTTCATGACGGAGCCCAACAAACCGAATCCTCTGCACAGTGTGCTGCAGGCACCAGCCCCGCGCCCAGCCGAGTCCCAATGTCACGAGTGCAACCCCAGGCATGAGCAGACGCCGTGGCGTCGAGCCCCGCACACACATCTCCAGCTCACAGAGCCCAAACCAAGGTAAACAACTTCTAAGCCCAAATCTCCATGCCTCTCTCTGCCAGCATCCCTGCGCAGCGCCGACAACCGCCGGCTCGAGCGCCTTTTGCACGCCAGCTGCAGCGCAGACGCACAATGCTGCAATTAAAATGCATCCTAGATAAGAGCATGGCAATTAGCCAGCACCGGCGGAGGAGCCAGCGCTAATGCCCAGCATAGATTTCCTCATTAACAAACACAAACACAATCGATCCCGCAGCACAGATAAATAGGTCAGGGGGCTGGACAATTGCCTGGCCAAAGGCTCCTGGGGGAGCACCCAGCTTTCCTCCTGCCCCAAGGAAGGAGGGATCTGCTTGAGCGCAGGGTTGAGCCCCTCCGCTGCAATTTGAGGTCGGGGGGGGTTGCACCAGAGGCTGTGATCAGTCAGAGCGGGGAAGAGGCAACGAGAGACGGGCACTGGATGGGTTGCCAAGGCAGGTCCATCCACCACTCCACTAAGCCTGGCTCCCTGCTGAAGAGAAATAACCTCTGCAAGTGCACAAGAGCTTCCCAGGCCACGGAAATGCAGTGGCCAACACTACTGACCCCCAAAAGACAAAGGAACCTCAAGGAGCCAGCTTCCCCTCCCTGTAAAATGCAATGCAGCCTCAGTTGCTCTATGGTGGCTATCGGTCCGTTATGGCTGATCTCATCACTCACCTGCAAAGGCTTTGGAGATCCGCTCCTTCTTCCACTCCCAGGGCTGGTCATACTCCTCCGGCGGCCGCTCGTCGTCCTCAGGCAGCCGGGACTCCCTGGGCCTGGGGCAAACCAGGCGGTCACCGTCCATGTCCAGCCCTCCAAGCACAGGCTCGTAGGGAGTGTCATAGAGGTGCAGCGGCCGGGCAGGTGCCTCCCGTAAGCCCTTCTGGCGGATCTCTAGCAGGAGAAGAGGAAAAATAACATGAGCTTTTTGCCCAACACAGCCCAGCCATGATCCCCAAAGCCCTGCTCGATGAAAGGGCTCAATTTCACCCGAGGGCATTGTGGGGTAAGGAGCATCAGCAACGGAGACCCCCTAAACCTCCAGCAAGCACTTGCCAGAAGCGGGGGAGCTGCTGGGCAGCTGGGTCCTGAGCAGTCCACAGCACCAAGATGCCTTCTCTCCTCAGAGTACAATATCCCCACTCTCGGGCAGCTCAGCAAAGCGGGGTCCATAGGGACAGAGCATCCCAGAGCCTGATTCTCTGCAAGCAGCAAGGCGGGGTTTCTTCCCCAGACATCCAGTGTGGCTAGTTTAATAAAATCCCTGTCCATCGAGCAAAGCAAAAGTCTCTCCAACAGACACAAGCAGCCTATTTGCTGCTTGCTGATTTTTCCAAGAAATGCAATGGTCTAGTCCAAAAAGCTGCATGAGCTTTCCAGAAACCACTCGCTCCAGGAAAACCATGGAACTGCAAAGCAGAGCCAGCGCCTGGAGCGCGCAAGCAGACATGGTGACCCTGTGTGTGCTGCAGCGGTAGGAGCGATGCCTTCGGGAGCACGCGCTTTCACCTCGCCTGCTTTCCAGCCATAAACAAGCCCACTGGGGACCGCACTGCTGCAGCAGACAACGGCATGCTCTGCCCCAGTCCTAACCAAATTAAATAGCTCCCACATCCGTCTTAGTTTTACACCAGATGCATCGAATGTCAAGTCTCTCCTGGCTCAGCCTGGGAAGCAGGCACTGTGGTCCTGGGGGGCAGCATCACAGGGAGAAATATCAAGGTGCCTTTATTGCTCAGGCAGCGTTTGTGAGTGCTCTGGCTACAGCAAGCCCATCGCACACGGCTAAAGCTGTGAAAATTTGGCTGCAAAGTGGCTGTACACCACGAGTGATTGCCCAGGTTTTCCTCGTCTGAAGGAACCGGTGCTGTCACAGGCTGCAAGGGACAGAGTAGAGTGGCCACCAAATTGAAACCAGAGGCACAAAGAGTGGCCTTTGCACAGAGCCTTCCACCTTACCAGCCATCATCTTCTGGGCTTCATAGGGCTCCATGTATCCATCGTTCTCCATCACCTTCTCCAGCCCTGCCTGGCTACCAGCCACCTGCGCCGCATCGAAGGGATCTGCGTAGTCCTCCAGGACAGCCAGCTGGAAGAGGGGAAGGGTAGGAGAAGGTTTAGGGTACTCCCTGCCTTTTTGGGGGCAGTCAGGGACCAGTTGAAGCCCCTTGAAACCTCACCATGAGCTCTACTAGCAGCAGCCAGAGTGGCAGCCCGGGCCCCCAAGCCTGCATCACGGCAGCCCCGCAGAGCAGGTGCTGGCAGCCGACGGCTTTCCAGGCACCAGCGCTCAGCCGTGGAAACGCTCCAGCCTTTGTCCCGAAAGCTGGGACAGAGCCAAGCAGAGCAGAAGGCGGCCCGGCCTCCTCCCTCACCATGGGCTCAGCGCTGCCAGAGCCCACGCAGATGCCCCAGCAAGGCTCCCACCGCGGCGCAGGGCTGACGGCGGCGCCATCCACCTCACGGCACGCAGATGCTCTCCCTGCACGTAGCCACATTTCCTCGCCCAAGGTGGAGAAGGGGTGCAGATCACAGTACAGGGGTGTCAGCTGGCACTGGCAGAACTGGTAACTCACTGGTTATTTTCCAGCGTTCCTGCAGGCTTGTTTGAAGATGTTTCTTAACAACAGGGCTAAGAACAGCCTATGGCTTCCTCTCCACTCACAGGCCCGCAGAGCATTCCCATGTGCACCCCAAGTAACACAAGACAGGGCTCCTCCATGCAATCAGGAGTCACCGGGAAGCAGGACCAGAAGCCTCTCAAGTGCCGTGTCACAGAGACAGCACAAAATACCCAAGGTTCGCCCTTACTAGCAAAAAGGAGATGATCCTGTAGTAGGATATGGGGCATGTTCCAGAGCTCAATCCCCTCCAGCGCTGGAGCCACACACCTGTGCCAGCACCTCAGCAGCTTCCTGGCTGGAGCATCCCATGGCACGATGCCGCAGTCCCTTGCAAGCCTGGAGCTGTACATCCCACCTCCAGCCCCAAAGCCTGGTCCCAAAATGGGGCCAGGCAGTATTTCCAGCAGGGTCTGAGTGCATCCAATCACCTTTGCTGGCATCTGCTCACCCACCAGGCTGCAAATCCCAGACTAAACCATCCGGCAAGATGGGTTTTGACACCACAACTCCAGCTCTGCAGAGCGCCCACAGCAAGGACCAAACAGCCCAAGCACAGTGTGGCAACAGCCTAATCCCACCCGGCACCAGGCTCTGTCCTCACTGCCACACAGTCCCTGCTCCTGGCCAGCCTTGGGGACCAGGGCTGCTCACACATTCCTCTCCGGATCAAATAATCGGCTTAAAACAAAACACTTCTTCCTCCTTCCTGTGCAAAATGCCCCGACAATAGCCTCGAGCAGCAAAACCCAGCAGGAAAAGGGAACAGGAACTGGAGCTGTAAACACCTCTGCGCGCCCCTTGCCTTCGCATCCCTCTGAGTTGCGGGAGGAATGCAAATCCCGCTTCCCATGCCCTGGCTCACCACCTCCTCTGTAAACGTCCCAGCTCTGGGCTTCCAGGGCTGCTGATGCAGTGGGGATCCAGGGCAGCTCTCCAAGCCCAGCCCCTCCGTACCGGGGCACGAGCGAGCAGCAGAGCATCATCCCTGGAGCAAACCCTGCCAGCCACAGGGCACGCAGCCACCCCGGGTGAGCACAAGGGTGGTTCAAACATGGGAGCAAGGCAGACAGTCTCACCCCTCAGCAAGGCAGCAGCAGGACAGATGGCTGCTCGGGGTATGGGCCTCTGCCGGATGAGAGGG